CCCCAAAACCCCAAAACCCCAAAACCCCAAAACCCCATCTGTCAATAAATTGCAAATTAAAAGATATATGTTATTAATAAATAATATCAAATTTTTGGAAGCATTTTGATATCACCTATCCTTGCAACTGATTTATCTAGTTCTTCGATTTGAAGATAAGCTTCTGGATGTACTACCCTATCTCTAAATGCCTGATACTTCTTTAAGCTTACATAGAAATGTTTCTTATAATGCTTTAAATCTTACTCTTTTATTTTTGTAAGATCTGGTTCTATATATGGGAAGGGATTTGTTATGTATTTTTCACCCCATACTCTTGAGTCTAAAAGCACATCCAAAATCGCTTATTTCTCAATAAGCATTTCATCTGTCTCATTTTCAATTCTTTTCGGAATTCTTGTTGCTTATGAGAAGTTAATACCTTGTGGAGGAGGTTTCCAGTAGAATTAAACTGGTGCATAGTGAGGCATTCCCACAAAAGCTAGTCCTGAATGAGCAGCCTGCATTACATTCTTGAGCATTGCTGTCATATATAAATCTTTAGGCATTAGAAATATGTGGGAGAAGTAAGTTAAACTTGCTGTTTGCATTGTAATAGGGGCTTTGGTCTTTGAAATTTATTCCAACACAAATTTGAAAATATCTTTCACATCATCTAGACTCAAACTATTACCAAGAATTTATCTCAAGAGAATTTCGGGCATATCTCCAAGAACTATTTTATGTTTACCCATCAATGCTTTGTAGAGAATTTGATTTATTTCATAGTAAGGACTCCAGCTGTCACACACAACATAATCGGTAATAGCCTATATGAATTTGTCCTTTAGGTTGTCATGAGTTCTTTCATCTTATAGATCAGGATAAGCATAGGTGGAAACTCCTTTTGTGTAGTCCAATTTCATATGAATTTGATTTGCTCGCAACATATCAAACACAACTAGATTTATTACTGCTTCTTCCCAAGTCATTGGGTGTGGATAATTCAAATTATCAATGGCCTTTTTATCATAATCTTCAACTCTGTAGGATTAAAACATGATGATTACTCATAAAGTGCAGATTTGTGAGACATATATCTTTATCTGGTTATATAATGCATAGGATCCATTTAAATGAACATTATATCTGGCTGATGCATTGCACAAGCCTCTGTAGGATAATTAACTATTGTAAATTACTAACCTAATAGGAAATCGAATTTTCTTTCAATAGGTATTTATGGAACTCCAAATAAAGCAATTTTGCAATCACTTCCATGACCTAGAAATTATAATTTAATTAGATATAACCTCACTTAATTCTAACATAGGATCAAGCTTTCCCTTTTGAAGGGTTGTATTAGTCATTGACTTTCTAGTGTTAATCAAATACTCCTCAGTTGTCATTCTTTCGTAATATCGCTAAGTCTTTGAAAGCAGACTCCTTCCATTTTTAAGTGGCTATAAATTTTTGTATAATTTTGATAACATTTAAAAAATAACAATATAAAGAATGTATTAATAACAAATTAAATCAATAAAAAGTCATAGTGTTTGCAGGTCCATTTGACTAGCCCATTTTTCCTGAAGTCGAATTCGAAGAAAGATTTATCTCATTAAGAAAAGCAGTCACAATATTGCTAGCATTGAAATGCTTAAGCTCATTATATTTAGGCATGTAGGTTCTTAGTCTCTTTGCAAATTCCATAATTATAGATGTTCTGCTGAGTTCTTTTACCAAGCCATCAGTATACTCATTCAGTTTTTCCTCTTTTATTTCTAGAAAATAATTAAGCAGAAGCATAATCTTACTCTCATCAGCATAAAGGAAATCAATTTAACTCTTAAGGTAACCAATAGTTTCAATTCTCTCTTACCTTTTAAAGGCCTTGTAAGCTCCAAGATTTTGCAGAAGCTTTTGAGCAGTCAAGTTACTCAAAGGTTCATTGAAGACATGGGATTTGTATCTGAAGAATTCCTACATATTAATCAAGGCAAATCTATTTACTTACATCTATTGTGTTCTAATCTTCTACAGATTTGAACATATCAGTAGCCAATCTGACAATGACATCTAGAGGGTCATCAAGGAAATGTCCTTTTAATCTAAGCTCAATCTTTGCAATATCTTCTCTCGCAATGCCCTCATGGTAGAGCTTGTAAAGCCTTTCTCTGATGACTGATGGATCAATGTCTTAAAACTTAACTGGGAACAACATCTGGCAATTACGATGAAGCTTTTTAAGCATCTCAGTATTGCAATCCTTAAGAGACTCAAAGAGAAGTTCAAGCTTGTCAAAGACGTCTTCTTTAGACTAAGAAGGATAAATCCACTCAGTCATAGTGTCAAATATTTTTTCTTTATAAAGCTTTCTGTCCTCTTTCCTTCTTAACTCGGAGTGGATTGAGACCATTCCATTTTAGTATGTTTAGGTCAGTGAGTCTTTCATTGGACAGTTATCAAGATTTATAAAAAGTAAGGATGCTAGATTGGCCAACTCCCTAGGCAAAGAAATTATGAATGTATTCTTTAAATCCATCTCCTAAAGAATAGTATATAAGTTTTAAGAATTTATCTTACCCTTAATTTATGGCACTTAGAAATTTCAATGGGGATTTCTCTGAGAGGATTATCATTAAGCCATAATTGCTGAAGGTTTTCTAGATCCCCAATTTTAGGACTGAGTTTAACAATGTTATTGTAACTTAAATCCAATCTCGTTAAGTTTACCATCTTAAAAACCTGATAATATATTTAAGTCTTATTTATAATACTTCAGGGATCACAACATCAATATTCAACTGGTTCAAATGAAGAGCATTGGTCTTTGCAGCCACTTTGAGTCTAGTTTGTATCTCGTTGTGCTGAGCATTATTCTTATTGGTTGCAAGAATTTTGTTAGGAATAAAGTCCTTTTTAATCATTTTATTTAAATTATATCACTTTCATTCTATTTTATTCTAATCAATGGGGTTTTGGGGTTTTGGGG